AATCTATGATAAATCAGCAGAGCCCGATGTAATCTTTCCTTAAAAACAGGCAAAATCGTCACCAGTCTGTCATCCTAATGTTCGCCTTATGAGAGAGGAAGAAAAGTGCATGAAAGATTTGCTACTTTCAACATCATACAAAACAGCTGGTAAGTCAATACGGTTTCTAAATAGTCTCTTTCCGCTCTGTCGTGACATGTCAAGGACCGCTGCTTGGTGGAAAGTGCCATGAGGGAATACTAGTCATATCTGAAATTAATGAAATTTTTAAACTTTTTTTTTTTAACTTAACGGTATTTTATCGACACCTGCTGGTTACATAACATACTGCAACAAATATTAATCCTGAAGTGGATTGTGTTTCACATTTTAAAATGTGGCTCCATTGTTTGTATGGAAACAAAACCTACTATAAAATTGAAATATATATTTGTTTTTGATCTACTAAGAAAACAACAGCGTACACTGCAAAGGAATGTGGGACGACTTGAACTGCTGGCCACCGGCTTTTCTTGGGGAAACTGTTTCACAACCTTGTCCAGAGTTTTTTAATTCAGGAGGTACTATGCAAACACACACACACACCAGCATTAACTTGCACCTATTATTTATACTACATTGCACCTGTTAAATATTTGCCAGTAACCTAATTTGTTTTCATAAGGAAATTAAACACCTACTCCCTCTCAGGGTCTCTATCCAAACACTACGCCATAAAATACATGTGTACATAGGACACCGGGTAACATTTTAGTGGTAGGTTTACTCTGGGAGATAACTTTGATAAATTTTGAAGTGCCTGAAGAGGAAAATAAAAGGTTCTGCATGTCTTTTGGTAGATTATACAATAAACACAGATGTCAGGTTCTTTTTTTTTCTTTCTTTGTACACACAGGTTCCCAAAGTAGCATACATATATGTATATATGTATGCTACTTTGGGAATATATATACATACATATATATATATATATATATAAATTGCAGTGCAGTTTGCAGACCAAGACAAAACTCAAGTGTTATTTTATTGCTTTTTACAGGTAAAGTGCATCGCAACTGCACAAACAATGGCTGGACAGACCTGCTCATTCCACACGAAGATGCTTGTGGCTACTCTTTCAATGAAAGTCTCTTATTTCTTGGAGAGGTTGGTGTTTAGATAGATAGATAGATAGATAGATAGATAGATAGATAGATAGATAGATAGATAGATGTCATCAAACTGTCAGATGTCAGAAACAGGCTCAGGTCTGAAGGGAAAAAACAGTGCCTCATGGGAACTCTTCTAAAAGCCAATGCTTATCTCACTTGCTAAGTGATGATATAAACAGCTCTGCTTCCAGACCCACGCATTTACTGCTTTGGATGAGGCTCCTGTCATTTTAATCTTCTTCAGAGCTTTTGTTCTTTGTTTTGAAATAGACACATGGCCGTAACATTTTTCAGTGTCATTTTCGACACTTTTATGAGCATGAGGGCCACAACTTTAATAAAGACCATGCACAAACATTAACGACTAAGCTCATGTTGTGGATAGAGTTATGCAGGTATTCTCATGACTAAGGTGATACCCATTTTTAGTGTCTTCTTCCTGATATATGATTGTGTTTGTCTTTGCTAACCGCTGAACCTAACCTAGCTGCTCCTGTGGTAATATGCTGATATGTCTAAAGCTAGCTCATGATAGCAGGGCATTGTCAATGCCAACTAGCCCAAATGAACTGACCCTTAAAACAGTACTTAGTTTTACTTTTCCATTTTGCTTATGTTCAAAGTCACAGCATTGCTGTACATTTTTGGTTTATTTAGAAATGCTAGCTACAGTATATTCTAGCTAGCTAATTTACTGCTAACTTCTAATTCTGCTCAAACTTGTAAACTGCCTTTTCATGGATCATGATATTATGTCTTTTTGTTTTTGTATTTTAAACCACTGAACGCTGATTTATTAATTATTCAAGCATAAAAAAAGCCACCTAACTCAAGGGATAAACTAGTTTTGTGTCTACACATAACTAATAACTTAACTAAAATTGTATCTTTAGACACTTTGTTACTGTCTGTCACAGAAGCACATCATTTATTCCCACTTTGAGTGTTAAATCTATGAAAAAAGGCTGGAGTATCGGACAAACAAAAGTACCTACAGTAGATGAACAGTATCTGACCACTTAAAGAAATTACAAGAAAGCTTGCCTAAGAGAGTTCAGGCTCTTTTGAAGAATAATGGCGGTCATATCAAATTTTGACTTTCAAGCTCGCTAGAATCGTATAATTAGTTTTTGCCTTGCATACTGCATTTCCGTGCATTGTAGTACATTTCAATAAATCACTGTGGTTATTTCCATTTAACTAGCCAAATATAAAGACATGAACCTTTGCACAGAATACATGCAGTTAAATAAGACAAATTATCAGTGTATTCTTAGTTTCCGTCATTATATTATATCATACTGCATTCTCATATCCTGCTGCTTAGGAAAATAATTGAATACCGTTGTCTATTCTTGATTCAGTCCTCAGACAGCCACTTGTATTTCTCCTATGTGAAGACAATGTACACAGTTGGATACACAATTTCCCTCATCTCTCTCATCATTGCCATCACCATATTCTGTGTGTTTAGGTGAGCAACATCTTGGCCTGAATAACTGTCAACCCTGTGCTTAAAGATGATGAATAGTTCCTAACCTCGAATTGTCCGTGTTTATATTTCTTCAGGAAACTTCATTGTACCAGGAACTACATTCACATTCAACTGTTCATTTCCTTCAGCCTGAGAGCCATCTTCATCTTCATCCGAGATGCTCTGCTCTTTACAGATGAAGAGATTTATCACTGTGACTACTATCCGGTAGCGATGGACCAGCGATTGTTTGATGAAACCCAAGTTCTGAGGCTTAATAGGATTAAAAATGTGTTACTGTTTTGTCATTTCTTCTCAGTTAAACTGATCCAAGAAGTTCTTGGCTTATCTTAGCTTAGCATAAATGTTGGCAGTAAAGACAAAAGAAAGAATGTGGTAATATGCTCTTTTGGCAGCGAGTAGAAATCTTCAGGAGTTAATTTGGTACTGAAGTTGTGATGTAAACTGCACGGACTCACTGAATTCTAGCATAGGCATCATTTTAGCAGAGTCGCTTTGTTCTAGAACTAAAACTATTTTTGATAACTTGGAATAACAATAAGCCTAACTCAAGTTCTTTTGTGTAATTGTGGTGGGGCAGGCGCCGTGTAAGGTCGTGCTGATGTTTTCCAACTACTCCATCCTTGCAAACTACAGCTGGCTGCTGGTGGAGGGCCACTTCCTATACACCCTTGTTAACCGCTCCTTCTTCTCCCTGAAGAAACATCTGGCCTGGTACATCGTCCTCAGCTGGGGTGGGAAGAACCGTCTTTACCTTGTGGTGTCTCCTTTCCTAAAACTCAACCTCAGATCTATAGTCACTGATTTATTTCATCACACAGGTTTGCCACTCATTGTGATCATCTCCTGGGGGTGTGCAAAATATTTTTATGAAGATGAAGGGTAAGGTCTGTTTCTCTCAGCCTTGCAGTTATGATATTTTCATGTCATGTATTATTATTTGACAGTTTTTTCTCATTCTCTTTTCAAAGATGTTGGGAAACCAGGAGGCATGAATGGATTTGGTGGATACTTCGAGTGCCAGTTCTTCTAACTATATCTGTAAAACTTTGGTTTTCTGTTGTACTTACATTTCATTCTTATTTGAAAGATTATTTTTAAAACATTACACATTTGGAACATACTTTTTAGATTGACAGATGTACTTATTATGTGTAAGCTAAATGTGAAGCTAGCAGCAAGTTAACTTAGCTAACAACTTAGCTAACCACATGAAGTGAAAATGTCTGCCATTTTGAATATGTGACAGTCATGGTGATGGTCTGTAACCACTGGCAACCACCACTCATGAGGGAAAAATTAGTGCTCTTATTTATAGTTGGCAAAAGTACAGATATTCTTTGCTTAAGTAGAAGTAAAGATAGTAAAAGTACTGACTCAACTTCTTTACTCAAGTAAAAGTGAAAAAGTACAGCCTCTGAAATGTACTTAAAGTAAAATTAGCTCCCTAAAGGACAATTCTACCATCTATTTTTAGGCAAAGGTTCACCTTCCAAGATGTATTGGCTGGCATAACTTGTAATTTGAAGGTGAATATTTGCCATTTCTCACACTTGTATGTGAGAAGTAAGATTTTAAAGTTTATCCTGGCTTCTATGGGCAACCAGTGAAGCTGCTGAAGAACTGGGGTAATATGAGCGCTTGACAGAGTGCGAGTTATGACCCGAGCTGCGGAATTTTGAAGAAGTTGGAGTTTATGAAGGGACCGTTTAGGGAGACCAAATAAGAGGGAATTGCAGTAATCAATGCGGGGCATAATAAGACTATGGACAAGGATGGCAGCAGCATGGGAAGTAAGGAAGGGGCGGAGTCGGTTAATATTACGTAAGTGGAAGTATGCAGTATTTAATGTGAGGCTGGAATGAGAGAGTATTATCAAGTATGATACCCAAACTCTTAACCTGGGGGGAGGGAAGGGTGGGAGAACGTTCAATGTTAATTGAAAAACTGTGGGATTTGGATAAGATAGAGGCTGTACCAACAAGTAAAACTACTTGTTGGTACAGGTGCTACTTTGGAGTAGCACCTTCTTAGAATCCAATTTCACCCAGCGAGAACCCACAACCTCCATGAACCACTGCCACCCAGTTGGAAAATACGCATTTTTCTCTAGAAATCATTGATTGTATCATCTCCAATATGGCGGACAACTCTGACGCAAAGTCTACTTGAGAAGGGACTAGAAGCACAGAAGGAGAAACAATCATTTGCACTGCTTTTATCATTTCAGATGAACCTCATCTTTTTCATGGGGATTTTGAGGATACTGGTGAGCAAACTCAGAATGCCAGATGCACAGAGAAACGAATTAAGCCAGTATAAGTGAGTAGTGCATACAGGGTAATGTTTGCTGTTATACTTCTATGATATACTCATACTGATGGACCTATACTTATACTAATATGTTCACCTAAAGGTAAATTTGTAAACTCATTCAAAAAAAAAAGAGTTTAAAACCCTAAAATCTATAGCTGTCAATAGAATGTGATAAAACAACGGTTTCATTGTGTTGAAGAGTTATCAACTGAAGTTTAACTAGAGCTCAGTCACACTGCTCTGTGACATAACATGCGGCAAGTCAATGCAAACTCTATTCAGCCAGGCAAGTGAGGGATGTCAAACTCATTTTGCATGGTTTAACCTGTGAAACTCCCTGTTCTGTCAGTGCAAAGAACTTTACTTACACGTTTAAATCCTGAAATATTTCAATATAAGAAAAAGAAGTGTGTCTGCATGCTCTACATGCTTTGCAAACAAAAGAAATCTGTCAGCGCATTTCTTTGGGCTTAAAATGTAAGGAATAAATATGTAAAATTACAGAAAACTTTCTGGCAGCTCATTGGCCACAAAGACTGCCCTGTAATTATAAAAGTGGAAGTTTTTGTTAATTCACAGAAAATGCTTTTTTTAAACTGTGGACCCATTGTAAAAAAACATGTTATGTCTGTTACGTAATCATGTTGGTGTATAACGGATGACGATGGGAGGAGGTCTTTATCAGTCATCATCAAAAAATACAGTTAAAAGTCTAAAATTGTATGCCTTCCATCATATTTTTCAAAGCTGTCCAGCAGACCTGATTGGAGTCTTTGCCAGGCTGTTTCTGGCCCCAGGCCTTATGTTTGACACCCTTGATGTAGATTAACATATTCAGCATAATAAGTCCCCCTAAGGTGTCTGGGGTTTAA